CACACACACACACAGACCTACATACACATTCAGGGTGTGGTGGTGGTGCTGTCTTCTCCACTCTGTGAAAATGACTGTAAGGCTGTCAGCAAGCCGTCACACACATACCATTTTATGGGCTGCTATGTGGGAGAGAATATGTGATATGCAAACACACACGCACACATGCGCGCGCACACACACAAACACACACACTTCTCTTGGAAAGCAGTTAAGGGAAACAAGTAAGGGGAGACAGAGGTGAGGGGTTCTTTAGTGTAAAATCCTCCATTTGTGTTCACTTAAGTTTGAACTGTATTTTTTTCCCTACTGAGATTCATATAATTGATGTTTTTTATTTGGTTAATGTTGTCCATCTATCATGACCATCATTACGCTTAAAAATAGTTGCTAGAATCTTTTTAGTCCACCTGTTTTTGTCCAAATGTAGTCTAACACGGATCAAAGGTAATTGATTCTAACCTTCTTGAGTTGGTTCTCTAGTTTGACACACTCTTCTCTCTTCTGTTCCAGGCTGATTTCCAGAGTCTTCAGCCTGTTGTCCTTCTTCAGTGTGGAGGAGGCCAGAGAGGAAGCTTTCTCCTTCAAATCCAACACAGAAGTCTGAAATGGAGACAAAGAGTGATAAGGACGGAAGTCAACAAAACAACTTATAAATGCAAGACAGTGGTTGGGTGTTTAGTGCCTTGTATCGTCACTAACCCACATTAAAGGATGATTCCAGTTTATCAAAACTTGGATCGTATTTTTGTAATTTTGGCAACCTTTTCTACGAGTTATATTTATATTTTACCTACCAAAGTAATTGTTATCTTTATTATTAAAAACTGAAAGTACATGAAATGTTCCCCCATTGCCTGTAAACTGCGATGTTATGTACAACGACATCACTTCACGCCAATCATGACACATCATCAGGTAGAGACCAGCTAAGACTCCCTGACGCTGGATACATTTAGTTTGGATTCATTATGGCAGGCAGCGATGCTGAGCCGAAACACAGTGTGTTAAATGTGGTGAAATCCTGTCACAGCCCTCCTTTTGTTGTCAAGTTATGCTTTTTTTTCTCCCATCTATTTGAGAAAGTGGTATTTTAACAATAAAAAGAGGACCTTAAGTTACAAAAGGTTGAGGGTTTAAGGGACAAGTGTTTAGGATTTAGTGAGGCAATTAACTTGGTGAACACAATGTTGTTACTACCTATAGGAATTATGGCTAATAATGCAAAAATAAAACCCAAGTTGTATAAAGCTTGAATTGTCATTTAAGGTCTTAAGGCCTACATAGTTGTGAGACTGACTCTGTCCCTTGTTCTTCAAAACCTTTTCCCATGACCTGTCTCTTTTCTGACTCTTCCAGCTCAATCCCTCCATCCGTGAAGTCTCTCTCCCTTTCCTTTCTGGTCTTTTCCTCTTTTGGTAGGGCCGGTGAAACACAAACCAACGGGACCAGAAGGAGAGACACTCAGACATGTAATTTTACCCTTGACTGACAATACCAACTCCAGACTACGGATCATCATGTTTGAATGGGCTTTGGTCAAAGAAACCTTGCTGCTTATATTTAGGTACATATATATATATATATATATATATATATATATATATATATTTCTGTTGTCGACAAACCCCACATCTGCGTTTAGCAGTGTAG